AGTTTTGTGACGTCAACAAGCGGGGTTTACATTTCAAATTATCAAAAAACATTTAATAATCCAATGTAATTCTGATATTTAGTAATATTATGAGATGGAAGTTGTTATATCCATTAAAGTTTCTATACAAAATAAAAATATTTTGGTGTCAATATATTTCCCTTTTTTTGTTATTTTAGGATATAAAACATATTTTTCAAACTTTAATGAGCGTAGAACAAGTATTGCATTGCTTTATATTTTTTAAATGACTCATAATAATTTTAAAGAGCAAAACATTTTTTTAATTCAATATTTTTACTTTATTTAAGGCATTTTTTGGGCAATTTTTGTATTTTTAAGGGCATTTTTTGCCCTTAACATAGTAACCATTTTTTGCACTTTTTAAGGGCATTAGTTGAGATTTTTTAGGTCATCAAAATCCGGGCTCTGTTTATTACTTTTTAAAAATTTAAGTTATTTGTCCGTTTTAAAGCCCAGATGATTTTTCACGGCAGGATGATATATAATTTAAAATCACTGCATTGCTTCACGTGTAAGGCACTTAAACTGTGGTTGTTTTATTTTCCTTGGCTGCAGAGTTTCAAAAAACAACGTTAACCATTATCAAGTGGAGTCGGCATTAAAAAATAATGTAACACTATTGCAAACCGACAAAGATGATTAGAACGTGTTTTTCAATGCCGCAGTGTGTATGAAAAGGGAAGTAAGAAATTTCGTTTTCTACCAAGAATGTGATGTTTTTTTAAACAGCAAAATGCACACTTATTCAAAACTTTGAAAGACAATCTAATATGGATAGTCATTTAACTATCCATAATTATTCAATAGAAAGAATGAATTATTACTGCTATTTTAATGTCATGTAAATCTAATAATTGAAAAATTACAACAAATAAAATAATTTTGATTTAAGCTAATGCAATTTGTAAACAGAAAAATCTTTCTTAAAGAAAGTAAAGAAAAATACTGTAATTTAAATGTTAAATAATATATCATAATTAAAAAAATACAATAAAGTAATATTCAATTTAAATTAATACTATTTATATACACGAGGAAATTTTTTTTAAAAATAAGCAAGAGAATAGGAAAGCACCGTTAACAAAGTGATACATTAAATAGGCACGAATTTAAATTTTCAAACGTGTTTTTCTTGGAACTGGCTGCTTAGTACGTTTTAATAGTTTAAGGGGTGAACATCTTCAAAGTTTGCTACGGATAACCAAGTATTGTCCCTAAGTGAATTTCTCAAGTAACGACCTCCCCTTGTACGGAACCTCAGTACAGTACAGTAGACCTCTTAAATCTGCATAAATATAGGGTAATTTTTTTTCATTCCTACTAGTTATATGTTACATGTTTTTTCATGAATTAATTTTATTTATTACTACATTCTGTTCCATACCAATTTACAGTGAACTCATTGTAAAGATATGGTTGCCAGTAGATCACCAACGTCAAGCATTACTGGCTACTGTCAATGAGCCGGTGGGTAACCGGCTTGATTAGCTTGCGTAGGGACAGCGGGTGCGCAGTATTAGTCCTTGTTATACTGTTCTACCGTAAATTGCTTCGCGCGCATATTTTCGGGCTAAATTTTATTAATTAATTAAATATTTCGGGTTTTTGCCAAAAAAGATTTTTGAATAAAAAAAAATTATTATTTTTTGTTTTTAAAATATATTCATATCTTTAAGAATATAAAAGTATAACATGTTCATATAATTATTTGCAGCCGTTTTAATTAACTATTTAGTATTCGTAAAACGTATGATGTGCTCTGTCTTCCCTATATTTTTTAAAAAAAATAATGGTTAAAAATAATAATTTATTCAGCATAATTTTTCTAATCTTTTAGCATATTTGTATGGTATTGATTTAGTTAAAAGTATAATTTGGAGATACGATTTTCAAAAAAATTTTCATGTTCCCTAAGTTTTTGTACTATGATGATATTGCTTTTTTTTTTTATTATTATGCTAAAGAATATCAAGAAAAATCTTACAGCATAGAACAAGCACTTATAAATTCAACATTGATTCAATATTTTTTTTTAAAAAAAGTTCTTATTATTATTTTAGAAAACTAAAATTCTAATAATATTTTGTTCAGGGCTCCTTTTCAGTCCTTTCCAAACTCATTTCAGCGCAAGATATTCCTATAAACGTTTTATGTGAGAAGTACAAATTAATATTTAATAATGTCTAGAATTTTTTTTAAATATTGATTAGATTGATAGTGAAGTGAATATTTTGGGTCAAGCAAAACAATCAATGAACTGCAAGTCGCCATTTTGATTTTGTCCTGTAACCGCGAACTGGATATTTCCGCCATCTTGACATGTGACATCCGCCATTTTGAATTTTCGTGACTTGCAGTAGTGATATCCTCATCTCCCACAGATGTCTCAAAAGTAAGTTTCCTTACGATTTCCACACTCTTTCTAGACATAAGTGCATTAACACAATCAATGTTTTATCATTTTTCAATTAGTATTTAACTTAATGTTGGTTATTTAACATGGAAACATAAAATAAAAAGTCGATTTACTATGATATACGTTGAATACAGATTGTTAATTTTTAGGTTTACGTTTTCGGAATTAACTTTCTCTCTTTTTGAAAGATGATCAATTGTAAAGATGCTTTTAAAGTTTCATAATAATAAGCATAGGAAATAGGAATATTTACCTTTAATCGACTTTATTATTGATTCGTACAGGGTGTTTACATTTTTTTGGGTACAATGTTGCCACCACATTTTCGTTAGAAAATCTCTTCATTTGTCCAATCATAGAGCTTCTGTGACGTAAAGTAACTGAAGTCGACTCTTTGATCAGCCTATAATTTCAGCCAGAAATATAAACAAGTTCATTTTTGACATGGATCTTTTTTTTTAAAAAATATAAAGTTTCTAAAGTTGCTCAGATTTCTTTTAATAAAATTGATTTTTGTCCTGATCTGCCATTTTCGATTCATCTCGGTTCAAATTATTTACAACTCGTATTAATTTTCTACAAATAAAATTTACAAATTTGTTACTTGAGAAAAATAAAGTCTGCCTGAAGCTTAAAACTATTTTTTTCTCGTTTTGAAATAAATACTGTTTGCAAAGAGAGTTGTTTTTGGATAATTAAGGACACGAAATTTATTGAATCAATTATCCGGCACTTTTTCTTATTTAAAATAATTTTAAAAAGCTTTTGTATAAATGATGATCTCACTGATTTATTCAAATCTTTCTAGTACTGTAAATAGTCCATTGTTTATTTTAATCTTGCAATGATTTTAATTTTTACAATTTTATATTTTGTTGGATAATTTAATTTGCCAGAAGTTCCTTTTTTTTTAAGAACAAGGTTGGTCAATTTAAATTGTTTGATTTTTGAGAAAAACAAAATTGTTGACTTAGATTTAAATCAAACATTTTTTATTTGGGTAAGCATTTATAATTTTAAAATCTTATTATTTTAGCCTGATTTCATTCATTATAAAGTTTACATCTAAATAATAATGTTAAAAAAAAATGTGATTCAGGAATTATGATTGCTTTGTAGGAATTAGTGTGACTGATAATGCCAATATCAAAAGTTAGTCCTATGTTTAACTCGAAAAAGAACAGAACTGAAAGGTTTTAACTATAAAAAGAAATGTTTGTAAATCTTATAACTAATAGGGAAGGGGAGATCTGAGAATTGAGGAGCTTCCATTTTCAACCATTACAAAAATTAAACCTAGGTATAAAAATTGTGAAAATTGAAGATGAAACTATTTTTTTCTAATTATAAAAATTTTGTTTTATTTTTTCGTTTTTGTAATAGAAATTAGAAGAATTTTTTTAAAAATAGTTAAGTTTTTTTATTAAATGTTCTAGCTGATCTCTTTTTTAAAAAAATTTAAATATCTGTAAAAATTTAAAAAAATTAAGAACTTGAAAAAGAGTCTTGTATTTCATTTTTTTAAATGTAAATTGTACAAAGCATTGTTAAGATAAGAAATTGTTTCAATAAACTAGGAAATGATCAGAACTTTTCCTTTTATGATAAAGGGACCATATTTTCCAAATTGCGACTACCACAGAGAGGTAGTGAAAGGGGAGATTCAGAAAGTTAAAACACTTGGTAATTTCGTGTTTTATCATTAACTATTGATGATTTTTCTTGCAAACAATTCCTTTTCTCAATTGAGAATTTTTTTAAAATTATTTTATTTGATGCAAAAATAAATTAACGATTCCTTTTTCATTTTACTTCAAGCTTCTTGTTATTCTTTAACAGAAGTAAAGTGATTTCTACTGCCTTTATGTTACCCTTCACTGAAAAAAACGAACAAAACATATGCCTATTCGTCTTGATTTTCATGCTCTTACTACCTACAAAGCCAGTCGCTAGATTTTTCTCATGCGCAAATATTCTTAGCTTCTTTTAATTACCTACAACTTATCTATAGCCCCAGGGATTAATTTCCCTCTTTCTATAACATTTCTATCCACACATTGTTATCCACAGAGCCAATTCTTTATCCGACTTACTGTCATAAATTGTTTCAAAAAAAGAATTATCTCCAATTTCTAGGACGGTAGATATATTAACCTTATGGGAGACATAAATCTGTTAACACTTTTTTTTCATTCTGGCCATTCTGTTTAAATTTTCCTCTGTGTTAGTCATTATAAAAGCAATCTTTTTCTTCTTACTATTTTAGTATAATGTAGTATTTTAGTTTTTCATTACAGCATTTAATGCTTCTAATTCAGAATTTTTTAATTTACCTTGTTCTTAAAAACTTGATTTTTTTTTTCTTTTTTAAAAAAAAAATTTTTATTTTTATTTATTTTATTTTAATGCTAATTCTCATCTTAATTTTTTTATCATCTGTTTTGCAAAAGATTTTTTTAATATTTTATAATTTTACTAATTTATTTTTCATTAAATAAAATGTTACTCCTTATCGTATGTTAAGAATACTTCTAACAAATTCAATTCTTCAGAACTAAGCTGATATTTGTATTAAATCAATCTATTCATTTTTATTTCTGTGATGTTTGTAACAAAAAAATGATTTTTTTGGTAAATCAGATTTAATGTTTAAGTTTCAAATTTTTTTTTCTTAGTTTACATTTACAAAGTTAGAATTTAAATTTTTAAAATTGTTAATCAAAAATTTAGACACTTTTATTATAATTCAAAAATGAAATGTTGTGGGTTCAAGATAGGAAGCATAGGTTTTTTTAGCTTATATAACTTTCTTCAATATTCCTTTCATTTTTTTAAAAAAATAAATAAATGACTAACTCATATAACCTTATTCTGTCCATGTTAAAATTGCAAGCAATAATGTAGCTTTTCTCAGAAATTTGAATTTTCATGCATTTCTTTCTTTCTTTAATACTTGTTTTTATTGCTTTGACACAGAGTAAGCCATTATATACTTATCTTTTTTCTAAGTTTATGAACTAGGTAATTTCATTTTGCCCCTTTATAGTTTCAGTTATCACGAACATGCACTGGTATAGAATTATCTGTACCGGTATGGAAACAGCCAATAAATGTATTTTATGAGATATCGGAACCAGTAGTTCCATATGTATCAAGAAGTTTCAAATTAATGTAATTTAAAATCTGAGCCCTGCTGACTCTTAATTTAAGCTAAAAGGAATAAGAGTTAAATCATAAGTATTATAAGATTACATTATATATTTTTTTCCATTTTATAATCGTTGAACAGCCGACCTAATTTTCAATTTACGACTATCGATCTCCAACTCCGTAGCCTTGTAATTTTAAACCCAATCCAGAAGACAAGGGAACTCCTCAATCAAGTATTCTGAGTAATTTGCCGTCATGGAAGACTTTTTGATGGACTAATCCAGATCTGCGTTTGGCAAGCTGGATGGCAAAGGAACTACCTTATGATTCATCAACCACTGAAGATATTTTACGTCAGCAGTGTCTTCGGACAAGCTGGGTGCGAAATTCGTATCGACTAGCAATAACTGGGATTCGAACCTGGATCACCTCTATGAGAGGTGATCACGTTATCTCTTGAGCCAGTGCGGCTCAAGATTACATTATATGGAGAGAACAAAATTATTTAATGTATATTCAGTACCCGGCCTAAGTGAGGATTACTTGCTATATAATGCACCTTCACAAATGGGTCCTTTGTTTTTACTATTCTAAAATATACAGAACATAATACAAAAATAATTAAAATTCTTAGTATAAGCTTAGCAAAAAATTTAATTAAATATTTAAGATTTGTTGGTATTTAATTGTTTTGAAATGCTTTTAATATATTATCACAATCTGTATATTACATACTTATTACCACAATGCCTATTAGCTCTCAATAACTAGTTCTCATTGAGTATCAAGAAAATATGATCAAATTTTTTAATGCTATTTGTGAAAAAATTTAATTTAGTAAGACAATCTGAATTAAATAAAAATTTAAAAAGAATACTTCAGAAAAAGTAAATATTTTTATGAATACATATTAACATAATTTTTAAACTATCAAATAACAGTATGTCTTAACTTTTTGATGACAGAAAATTGTGTTGAAGTGTATTGATGATGTATGTTTTTAAATTAATGTGAAATTATTTATAAAACTGATAAGTCTTTTTGGAAAGTGGCTTAAGTCCGATGTTTTAAAACGTTATTTGAATGAATGTAGAGGTAATGGAAAAGATCAAGCAATTCAGGTGATGTTTTTATTTCGATAATTTGATAAAGTTTCAAAAGGTAGCAATGATTACTAAAATTAATTAAATTAGCTCCAAGGGGATTTATTCCACTTTCAAAAATAACTGCACACATTTTAGTTGTATTTAAGTGCCATTGTTATTATCATTTTATCTATATGACTTAACTGTATTATATTCTTCTTTTACAGGGTTTAGAATTTGAGGGGAAAAAATGGAATCTGAAACAAAAGCTGGTACTGGAAATGATTCCAATGTATCTTGTTTTGCAGTTGATGGTGTTGTTGCTGAAATGGTGATTGATATTGATGTTGATGATTCCCCTCAAAAATTAAAAGACATAACGTCACAAAAATCTAAACCTAATTCTGAAGTTTTGTGTGATGATTTATGTAGTGAGTCAGTGACTACTTTAGATGAAGAAATTGAAGAGGTGCCGAAAGAAAATGAAAATTCAACTACTTTGAAATCGAATAAATTAACAGGTGATGAATCACTAAATGAGGATGTCATGGAGATCAATGAAAGTGAACATTTTGATGCATCAGCAAAACTGGGGAGCTCCTCAAAAGAAGACGATTTAAGGAAAGGCTTAATTTCTGACTTGAATCAGATTAGAGAAGCTGCTAGGCTAATTGATGAGAACAAAGATGAAATACTAAAAGTTACACATTTGAGGAAAAAGAGTAAAAAAGGCTCAGATTTGACTGACTCCAAGAAACTGGATCTCACTTTAAAATCAGCTGACGGAGAAAAAGGTAATAGGCCATAAAATTATTAGTAAATAGCATTTGTAAAAATGCTAAAGTAATGAAATTTATATAAATGCTAAATATTTATGCGTCCATTAGTGACTTATTTTCCATTCTCTGTCCTATTAATTAATTTTTCACTCAATCAGCACTTCACTTTACCTACTATCTCATTCAGCAACATGCAATTTATATTTCGCAAAAATAAGTGGCAGTTATCTGTTATGGAAACCATGTTTGCCAACATGGCTTTGGCTAGATTCTGGTCTACATACAGGTAGGTCTCCAGCTACTAATAATATTCAATGCTGTTACCAATATTACAAAAAAATTGCTCTAATAACTGATAACAGCTGTATATATCAAGTATAATAATATCAAGATCCTATAATTGAAAGCTTTAATATTGAATACGATAATATTGGTAATATTATACACAGGGAGGGACTGGCAAATCCTGGGCGTCAGGTCGCCTAGGTTACTAAAATGATCCTGTCGTCGACTACCTGTTTCAACATATTATTATGATATTTATGTTTGAACTATTATATATATTTACTCTGTTTTTTAATATGTGAAAAAAATTGTGAATTTTAATTTCTGCCCTTTAATTTTATAATTCAATTTCAATGAAATCATTAATAATGGAATACTTATTAGTTTTACTGATGTTGTTAACCTTTAACAATCAAAAAATATTTTTAAAAAAACCCAATCTGGGTTGGCAAAGTTTGCCTTGTCTTTCGTTGGCAAACTCATTTTCTTTTTTAAGATAGGTAAATAATTTGCACTGTCACTGATGGTAATGTCTATTTGATGATAAACAGTCATACTATTTTTAAGGTCCTTAATTTTTTCGAAAAAAGTTCTTAAAAGTTCGTAATTTTTGTTTTGTTAAAAGAGTGGGAACCCTGTATAACTATAAGTAAATAATGTAATTTAATTTTCTAAAAAAAAATTATTGATGGGATAAATAACATAATTCTAAATCGTTTTTAGAATTTTATTATATTTAATAAATCATTACTAATTACTCGTAAGTCTTTTTGTAATAAAAGACTATGGTTTACTGTACCAATTGCATTCTAAAATAAAAAATTTAAGCTATGTGCTAAACATTTAATTATACTTTCATGATCTATCTATATTTTACTGGTTATGCCATCCCAAATTAAATTAAATTATTTTATCACCATTTATTTATAATTTTTTTTTTAAAATCGATATAATTTTGCATTGCTGTTAGAGGATTTTATTTTACTTTAATTTTGTTAATTGCAGAATGTGAATTAAAAAAGATATCAAAATCAGAGATGTCTATAGAAAAGGGAAGTCCAGAAAATATTTTGCCCACAGCTATCTCAACTAGTAAGTATTTTTTATTGACATTTCATTGGAGTATTTAAAATTCACCTAAGTCCAAGATGTGTAGGTCTAGCTAAAGTCTATTCTTTGACAACTTAAGTTTTTACATCCTCTCTCAATATCATTTCAGACTTAAGGGTCATATATTGCTGAATTTTTTTATATTTTATGTCATGTAAAAGCTTAATTGCTAGATTGTCACAAAAATTTGGATTTTCATCTCATTTTCAATTGACATTTGCATAAGTATGGTATGGACACTCAGTTATAATGCATGTTCTTTAAAATAATATTACATAGTTTATACATGGTGCGTAGTGTTAGTGCTTAAAGATGCTTATTTTTGATTTTATTTTTTTAAAAGCCCTCAAAGGTGCTTTTTTTATTGGGTGTTTTTAAAAAGTGCTTAATTTTCCCTTTTTGAAAGTGAAATTTTTTTCTTTACCATGCCCATTTTCGCCACGTATTATTCAAAAACGAGCTTTTCACATTGTTCTATTCAACGTTTTCACAATTCACTCAACCACAATCTATTTCGGCGTCCCGTTGGCTCATAGTGTATGAAGCCACTAATCATTTTACATGTTTGGTGAAATACTTGCGGGTCCGCATGTGCATATACTGACCTGGGTTCGGTGAGATTCTTGCACTCTCATATGCAACTCTGCTGCATTTTGCAAGATATTCTCAATTTCAGGCTTCATCTTCCACCCGAATCGAAAAACCTTTTTATAATGGCTAATATAATCAAGAAAAGACTTATTTGTCTGAAACTGGTTATTTATTCATGATCATGTAACGTCTTTGAAAATTATTATAAATTTTGTTTATGTAGGGCTTAAAAATATTTTTTGAGTGCTTAAAAGGTGCTCATTATTTGTTGAAAGATTTGGATAATCACCCTGTTATAATTGTTAATCAAAATCTTTATTGGCAATCGAAATGGGTTATAAGTGGCGTAGAGCAGAACTCTCTACCTATAGCAACACTCACTTCGCATGCTTTCACCATTAGCGTGTGGAGAGTCATAGGAGAAAGAAGTACGTTAGTTTTGCTCTTGATTTTCAAATAGATTAAAAACTTTTAAGTTAGTAAACTATATGGAACTTAAAACAACATGAAACATAATTCTAAAAAAAAGCGCCATGAAAATTTAAAAAAATATTTTTAGCAATAAAATACAAGAAGTATTAAGAATAGGAAAAATATCTTAGTACATTCCTATACAACTGAAAAAATTAAGAGAGGGAAGGGCAAAAGGCATGGAACCAGTCTTTTCCTTAGATGGCGTATTCGAGCATTGCGATCGCCTATTATTGTTGCAAGTGAAAACCACTGAGGTTTTAATAAAAATGTGAAAATTTTATTTTTGTAAATAATTTCCTCTTTAATAGAAAATTACAATAGACAGGGTGCATAGTATTTTTAAAAAGTGCTTAACGGTGCTTATTTTCGATTATCGTTTTTTAAAAGCCCTTAGAGGTGCTTTTTTCATTGGATGTTTTTAAAAAGTGCTTCATTTTCCCTTTACCCTGTTGATTTTGGCCACGTGTTACACAAAAAGACACTGTTCATATTGTTTTGTTCAATGTTTTCACAATTAATTCAACCCCAATCTATTTCGGCGTATCGTCCGTCCTTAGCGTATGAAAACGCCATTCGTTTCATGATTCAAAGTTTCATGCTTTTTGACAATTGTCAAAAACTATGCCTGCAGAACTAGCAAAACTAGAGTTTTTTTGACATGACGGTTAAATCCGGATAAAACCGTCAATTGTCAAACACTTGCCAACCCTGCCTAGTTAATTTTTTTTGAAAGTGCTTAAAAATATTTTTTGAGTGCTTGAAAAGTGCTTATTAGGTGNCCCAAGTTTGAAGGATAAATAACGTAATTCTAAATCATTTTTAGAATTTTATAATATTTAATAAATGATTATTAATTACTCATAAGGCTTTTTTGGAATATAAGACTGGTTTACTATACCAATTGCATTCTAAAATAAAAAATTTAAGCTATGTAATGTGCTAAACATATGGTCATTTGATTATACTTTCATGATCTATCTATATTTTACTGGTTATGCCATCTAAAATTAAAGTAAATTATTTTATCACTATTTATTTATTTATTTTTTTTTAAATAAAATTGATATAATTTTACATTGCTGTTAAAGAATGTTATTTCAATTTAATTTTGTTCATTGCAGAATGTGAATTAAAAAAGATATCAAAATCAGAGATGTTTATAGAAAAAGGAAGTTCAGAAAATATTTTGCCCACAGCTATCTCAACTAGTAAGTATTTTTTATTGACATTTAATTGGAGTATTTAAAATTCACCTAGGTCCAAGATGTGTAGGCCTAGCTAAAGTCTATTCTTTGACAGCTTAAGTTTTTGCATCCTCTCTCAATATCATGTCAGATCATATATTTCTGAATTTTTTTATATTTTATGTCATGTAAAAGCTTAATTGCTAGATTGTCACATTGTTTGGATTTTCATCTCATTTTCAATTGACATTTGTATAAATATGGTATGGACACTCAGTTATAATGCATGTTCTTTAAAATAATATTACATAGTTTATACATGGTGCATATTGTTAGTGCTTAAAGATGCTTATTTGATTTTTTTAAAAACCCTTAAAGGTGCTTTTCTCATTCGGTGTTTTTAAAAAGTGCTTAATTTTCCCTTTTTGAAAGTGAGATTTTTTTCTTTACCATGCCCATTTTCGCCACGTATTATTCAAAAGCGTGCTTTTCACATCGTTCTATTCAACGTTTTCACAATTCATTCAACCACAATCTATTTTGGCGTCCCGCTGGTTCATAGTGTATGAAGCCACCAATCATTTTACATGTTTGGTGAAATACTTGCGCGTCCGCATGTGCATATACTGACCTGGGTTCGGTGAGATTCTTGCACTCTCATATGCAACTCTGCTGCATTTTGCAAGATTTTCTCAATTTCAGGCTTCATCTTCCACCCGAACCGAAAAACCTTTTTATAATGGCTAATATAATCAAGAAAAGACTTATTTGTCTGAAACTGGTTATTTTATCATGATCATGTAAAGTCTTTGAAAATTATTATAAATTTTGTTTATGCAGGGCTTAAATATTTTTTGAGTGCTTAAAAACTGTTTAAAAGGTGCTTATTTTTTGTTGAAAGATTTGACTAATCACTCTGTTATAATTGTTAATTCAAATCTTTATTGATGATTGAAATGGGTTATAAGTGACGTAGAGCAGAACTCTCTACCTATAGCAACACTCACTTTGCTCTTGTTTTGCTCTTGTTTCAGTTTTGCTCTTGATTTTCAAATAGATTAAAAACTTTCAAGTTAGTAAACTATATGGAACTTAAAACAACATGAAACATAATTCTAAAAGAAAGTGTCATGAAAATTTAAAAAAATATTTTTAACAATAAAATACGAGAAATATTAAGAATAGGAAAAATATCTTAGTACATGATAAACTGAAAAAATGAAGAGAGGGAAGGGCCAAAGGCATGGAACCAGTCTTTTCCTTAGATGGCGTATTCGAGCATTGCGATTGTTGCAATTGTTGTTACAAGTGAAAAGCATTATTGTTGCAAGTGAAAAGCACTAAGGTTTTAATAAAAATGTGAAAATTTTATTTTTGTAAATAATTTCCTCTTTAATAGAAAATTACAGTAGACAGGGTGCATAGCATTTTTAAAAAGTGCTTGAAGGTGCTTATTTTCGATTATCGTTTTTTGAAAGCCCTTGGAGGTGCTTTTTTCATTGGATGTTTTTAAAAAGTGCTTCATTTTCCCTTTACCCTGTTGATTTTGGCCACGTGTTACACAAAAAGACACTGTTCATATTGTTCTGTTCAATGTTTTCACAATTAATTCAACCCCAATCTATTTCGGTGTATCGTCCGTCCTTAGCGTATGAAAACGCCATTCGTTTCATGATTCGAAGTTTCATGATTTTTGACAATTGTCAAAAACTATGCCTGCAGAACTAACAAAACTAGAGTTTTTTTGACATGACGGTTAAATCCGGATAAAACCGTCAATTGTCAAAAACTTGCCAACCCTGCCTAGTTATTTTTTTGTTGTTGAAAGTGCTTAAAATGTGCTTATTTTTTGTCGAAAAATTTGACTACGCACCCTGAGTAGACTATTCGTACTGTTTTACATGAATTGAGTATTCTGCCACAGTGACTCAAAACTAAGATATGTGGTGATAAAAATAAATTAATTTAAATTACGGCTCAAATATGCATTTATCCACACTGAGGAAATAACCCTCCCACTAAGGAAACAACCAAAAGCATTGCATAATTAAATTGTTAGTTAATAACATAATTTTTATTAAAGAAAATTCCTTGTTCTTCACAATAGGAGGAAATAAAAGGAAACTTACTGAAATAGAGAATGATACTGTAAAAAGTAAAAGAAGGAAAAATACTGTTGTAAAAGAGGAGTCTGAATCAAAGGAAAGGCAGGAAATACAAAGTCAGTCCAATTCTGAAAGTAAGTACCTAATTGATTTTACGAATCGGAAAAAAAAATATGTTGGATTGTTTAACTAAAATAAGATGATTCCATTAAGGTGCTAATACTTTATTCTTTATGATATGATGAGTATTAGTATTTTTTATCTTGAGTTATGTTAAACAAATGAACAAATTTTCTGGTTATTAGGCTGTTGATAAAATTGTATTCAATCATATTATTTATCATATCAGTGTTTAAGCTGTTTTAACAAAACTCACTTCTGTTTTTTTATTTATTTATTTTTTCATGATTGTTTTGCAGTTGCGTTCATTGTGATATGATTTTTTAAATAAAATAATAGTTGTTTATTTTTTAAAATAATAAAAGAAAGTTTTACAAAAAGTAAACATCAATGGACCCAGAAAAGTATCTTGCTTCTATTCTTTATTGTTTAATTTTATTTGAAGCACTGTGAAGGATTAGAATTAAACATGTTTTAGAATTAGATAGTTTTCGAACCAAATTAGTAAGCAGTAGGGAATCTATATCAGCCCAAGTTTGATGCATTATATCAAATCAATATCTATGATTACTTTTCATTTCGGTGTAAAGGTTTTTTAGACTAGGAAACATTGTTGTATTTTTTATTAAACTGGATCTCATCTTAAAGTTTGTGATAGGTTATAGAATGTTATCAATAAACAGGGGTCTGTCCTAGCCAAATCTACTACCGTTTAGTGGTACCTTCACAAATTCAACTTTAGGAAAAACGGTAGTTTCACAAAATACTTTATCTTAAAATTTTATTTTTGTATCCCGTAAGAAACGATAAATCCTTATTTTTGTTTTGATTTAATATAATTTTTAATATTCACAAATTATGTCTAAATTTTCACAAAATAGGTACCTCTTAGAAAAACCTAAACAGACCCCTGATAAATATTTTATGTTATTTTAGTGTATTTACATGAGATTACAAATGTTTGAGTTTAATATCAGTAAGTAATTAAGAGAAGGTTTCTTCTTAGGAATAAATTTGGTGCCATTATCTAATTCAACATTCAAGAAGTATGATATGTTTGAGAAAGATTCAAGGCTTATGAACTTCTTACACTGTATGTATACTAAAAGTATTTTTCTTAACATTATGTAAATTTTAGTAAAATTGCTATTGAAATCAAATTTTGTATTGGATAACATCAATTTAAAATAGCAGTCTTTAAATCTTTAGTTTTAACATTAACCAGCAAATGGTTTTGACGGTCATTGCTTCTAAGGAATTTTATAATCTCTGATATGCATTGGCAAACACAAATGCGTAATTTGTTAATGATTTATTAAGCATTAGTAATGCTCAAATAAAGTGCTTATTTTAAATCAAAGAGACTGAAATATGAATCACAACCCAAATTACATTTACAGTAAATTGAGTTGATTCTTAAGTAATGATCATTTAAGAATCAACTCACTTGTCATCAGCTAAAATAAGCATTTTCTTTGAACTACTCTACTACAATATAGCAAACAAACAAAATAGCAAACTAACTCAGAATTTAGGTGTCTCTAAATGCTTTGTAAATTAATGTGTAAAAATATAACTGCATGGAATCTTCAGCATTATTTAGCTGCTACTGATGCACTCAGCTGATATGCATCATGATTCAGGTGCTACTGATTCAGCAAAGCAGAATCAATAGCACCTATTGTGAATTGTGTGCAATGCATTTTTTAAAACTAGATTCAAGAGGTTTTACAAATTTTAGATACTAGATGCTACCGAAATGCAACTTATATTTCATAACTGCACTTTTATTTTTACAGTTAAAAAATCCTTAAATGAAGTTGATTTAAAGTTTTCAAGGCAGTTCTACAGAGTACTATTTGATAAATGGGCTCCTGTAAGTATATGAATTTTAATTTTTTTGTTTACATCTTGACTGATATTAAATTCTAATATTATGCATGGTAAATTTGTTTTTTGAATTTATTGGGATATAATAAATACAAATTATTAAAATCTAAAATAATTATTTTATACAAAAAAAAAACAACCTTTTTTTCAGATAAGTTATTTTGTTATTAGCCTTATAAAAAAGCAACTTCAAATATTTATTTTATTTTTGATTAGTTACAGTCAGAGAAAAGGAACTTCTATAGTCAAATTACTATTTCCGACTTCTTTCAGTAGATAAAAGAAATGAATTGTGTATCTGATTGTGTAATTTCATGAAAAACTATTGTAACTTGTAATTTAAAAATTTTTTTTTGCTTGTTTCTAGTTTCATAATTATTATCACATGGATTTTTCATTAGTCAGTGAATGATTTATATTATGTAATTGTAGATTGATGTTGCTCAATTGAAAATAGAAATTCTGGAATTTGGTGGTTTTCCATTTGATAGATTCTCTGAAGAAGTATTGAAGAGGAAACATATATTAAAGAAGTAATAAATATTTATGATGTATAATAAAATAATCAATTGTCTAACTTTCATATTCTTGTTAATTAGGGTATGGTTAAATGTAAAATATTTGTAAGCATTTTTGGTTTTTTCTTTGAATATTTATTAAATGTTTATCAAATTGTAAAAATTGCCTTAACACGTTGAATGCCATGGGGGTCACCAGTGACTGACGCTGAGTTTGTTTGTAGCGCCACATGGGTCACCAGTGATAAGGCAAAAAAGAAACTCTTAATTCAAGTAAATTTTTAATGCTGTTTTTTTTTAAAATATTATTATCGTTACTAAAATGGTTTGAAAAATTTAATGCAATACATAATGAAAAAATCATTTTGGCCAGACGGGCAAGCCCTGCAAAATTAGCGTGGCATTCAACGTGTTAATTTTATTAAGACTCTTTGTACTCACAAATGGCCGTGTAATTAAGTGTCAATACTTGTTACCATATTTTATAATGTCCTTAGCTTTAAAATATTTTTATTTTTAAATCAAGACAAAATAAGTAAAACTACAATATCAATTTACAGTTTTACATTATCAAGTTTTTATGGTGATGAATTCATACACTTAATTATTATTTTAAGTAAATACAGTAATAAATCTTGTTGGGTCGAATTTTGTAGTTTCACAATTATTGATCTGCCTCCTTCATCTGGTTTTAAAATAGATTAATTTGAACCTACAATACTGTTATTATCTCATAGAATATTTAAATTTCTAATTGTGGGAACATCCACATATTCATAAAACATGAAAAATACACAAATAATGTTAAGCAACATATTCACTATGTTTTCATTAAAAATTATTGAAACCCTAGTTCATAAAATTATTTTCTTAATGAGATAACATAAGTTCAAATCTAAAGCAAAAGTAAAGTTACTATTAAAAGCAAAAGTGATACTGTTAAGCATAGCAATGCCGAAAAATACCTTTCAACCATAATAGGTGAAGGATATACAGTTAGACTATTATGAATTGTTCTATGTTTTCTGTTCTTTAGCAATTTACAGTTAAAAAAATATATGGTCAAATAGTAACTAAAATAAACTATTGTAATCCCACCATGAGTAATTTTATTATAATAAATAAGGGTAGAGGGAGAAAATTTGTGATGAACAACATCACAAGCTTTTTTTGGTGCTTTTCAAAAAATTTTATATTCAAATAAATTTGTAACTTAGTTTTAATACGCATTTTATTAAATTTAGCTAATATTTTACACATTTTGAAATCATTCACAAATAATTTTTTCTATGCATCAGATATTCTAAAATAAAATTTTTTTAATTAGCTTTCTAATCACATGTTCTCTAATACTATGTTACTGAATATAGTTAAGCTAAGTTGATTAGATATTAATAATTAGCATTATTTATTTATGATAGTTAATATGTTTTATTTCAGACTTCCAGCTTTATCTTTAAAGAAAATTTGTTACATGTTGGATTTGCCCAAAGGAAAGACAGATGATATGATTGATTCTATTTTAAAATTCCTTCATAAGCCAACAAACACTGTGCATTGCACTGTTGATCCGTTTCAGAGCTGTATGCAACCATTTGTAAAATTAGAAAAATTGCCAATCGGTAAGCTTTTTGTTTAAAAATTTTGCTGAATACAATAACATTTCTTGTCACATTATTTTCCCAGAATATTTCCCTATTTATATAATGCCCCCACTTATTTCAAGGACATGCAACTTTATGAAACTGGCATGTCTATAGTTAGGTGGGAAAAGAAAAGAATACTCTTAAAGTCACATAATTAATCATTTAAAATTTCTTTCTTCTTTGTTGCATCTTGCTTGTAGTTTTTTCTCTGGCACTTTCCTGTTCTCCTCCTTTAATTTTGCATTTTGATGCTGTTGAAAGCTCTAAATCTTTGAACCAAAACTAGTACGGTGAAATCTCTCTGGAGTGACCACTCTCTGTTTTAAAGTAAAATGGTCGTTAATGGAGGTTGGTCGTTCTTAGAGATTAACTCCATTGACTTAAAAATATTATCTATTAAAGATACATGATCTTTTGCAAGCAATTTTAATTTTACTCAGTGACATTTTCTTAGTGCGGAAATTCCTGTTGTGTTGGTGTCATGAAAATCAGATCGCTGAAAGAAATTTAGCGTCAATAAAAATAACCCCTACTGTTATAATAATGTGTAAAAACAAATTTACCAATTATGATTGATAGAACTATTTTGAATAAATAAACAATTATGTTTTTTTTTTTTTTTTTTTTTTTTTTTTTTTTTTTTTTTTGTATAAGTATGCACATAGTTTTATATCATGAAAATTAATTTACTTTGAAAAATAAGCTGTTTGTTTGTTTTAGATGCTTGGTTTTTTTTTTTCTTTAACTTTTCACTCTAAAACTGAATCATTGATACCATCATCTTTATTACACTCTGACTGTAACAGGAGATTGTCAAACTCTAAGAGATCGTCAAAACGAGCTCTCTAAACTAGAGCCATTCAGAAATATTTTGAATTTACTTATTTGTTTTGCTATTTTTTATTCTTGTATTTTTTCGTGTTTTTTTATTTGACCTTTTCTGCATTTGGTGCGGAGGTTTGCCCGGCTGCTGGGAGAGGTTTTGATGGTCTCTCCTAAAGGTTTTCTTTAACACAAAGTGTATGTAAAAAATTCTGTGCCTTCCAAAAGTGGTCGTAAATAGAACTGGTCGCACATAGAAATGATCGCACATAGAAATGATCGCTTTCCTGGACGTTTTACTGTATATCTGTTTATGGATATATTTGTGCTTTAATAATGTTTTCTAGCTTTATTTTTATAGATAGCACAAAGAATACCCTTTTTGCATTTGGTTTTCATTTGCATTTGACATTTTGATTAAAGTAATAGCAGCTTTCCTTATTCCTCTGTTTCTTATTTTTTTTATTTTTAAAAATTATCTAGTTTCGTTCTATAATTTTAAATTGAGTTAGGTATTTAACCCATATTTCTTTTTCTTTTTTTTCTTTTCTTTTAGTTATTAATGTCAGGGTAATAAAAAATCACTCTTCTCACCCTTTTCAAACATTTGAAGTAAAGTTGAGAAGCACTATATCAGCCCATAAGTTATTTTTCTTAATTTTAGCAAAGTACTATCTCTTTAATAATTAAACTTTGCATTAAATCCAAACATTGTATACCTAAGACATTTCTTATTACTCAGTGTATTGTATCTATAGAAAAGGAAAGATATTTTCTGCAAGAAAGTTTATAATTTCTTACTGCAATCTGTTGGAACTTGTATAAATTGTATGATTGTCTCTTTCATTTATTTCTTTAGAATTAATTATTTTTCTTTTGATAGCATTGAATTTTAGTACAAAAAGTTGAGTATCCATAAATTTTGATGAAAATAATTATTATAAAATTTTTAAATGTTATTATGATTTAAAAGGTTTCTAGTTTATATCTTATGTCCTATTTCTTTTTCTATTTCAGATTTCTTTATTTTACCAAACTTTTGTTGCTGTCTCTGATTTTGTAATATTTTCCTTTATTTCTTTCTAGAGTATAATTCATTATTAGAAAAAGAAAAGAAACGTGATAGCTCGAATCAGCAAAGTAGAAAGGCTGGTCTACCTCCTAAGAAACTTTTGGGTAACATTTAAGCTATTGTTTAGTAAAAACTGCAAATTTATGCAAGCAAATAAGTTTATTAAAGTTTCAGAATTTAATTACTGAAATTCTGAATTTTTTAGGATTTACTGAATCTTAAATATTTATTAAAGACCAAAAAATTACAATATAAATAAACATTCCAAAGATTGTGTGCTGTATATTAGAAAGATTGGTCAGCTTGAAACAAAATATTTTGGTTGTATTCGTAACCTGATTTTTTAAAGGGTATTTAATATAAATCAATTTAAAATTTGTTAAAGTTGAACTTGTTTGTTACAAGTTTTAGTTTAACATGAGTCAGAGTATGAAAAGTAAATTTTTTATAAAAGGTTTATTATTTGTATAAGGTTTATTATAAGCACAACTTGAATTCAACAAGGGTTATTTATGGTTCTACTTAAAAATTTTCTTTTTCATTCTAGCAGTTAAAATTGTAAGTCTCTCACCATTTGTTGAATTCGATCATAATTTATTTAAAAGGCCATTTTAAGTTTGAATTATTGAAACCTCGAACAAACATAAGCAACAAGGACTAAATATATGTCCTAATCAATTTTGCTATGAGACAACAATTTATATCAAAACAATTTTGCTTTAGCTATAGAAACATACTTTCCTATAGTTATTTTAATATTAAACCAATTTTTGAAAAATAATTTTCTATGATTTTCAACTTGTTTATCATTTTAAAAGACTGATAGTTGTCCACCCCTGTCAATGATTATGTAACAAACATTCTGATATTCAAAAAATTATTGTTGAAATATATGACATATATAAAAAATATACATAGTTTCTAATTTGCAATAGATGAAATAAAGATATATTTTATGAAAGAATATACAGCTTATGGCATTGAGGCATACAATTTAGCTTCTTTGCTCATCCTAGACATGAATGTACACTCTTTCCCATGGTAGTGAGAGCACTCTGGGTTATGGTCCCTAAAGATCCAGGGTTCAATTCTAGCACGTAGTTGAAGAACGTCTCTCCACTTTATTGATATTTTATAGATAAAACCACTTTCATCGATTCATTGTTTTAATGGTGGATGAAAGGGAAAAATCATAACTACTATATGTACATTTCTAAGTAAATTAGAAGGTATTCATGCATAAAATGAAATGGATGTTGTAAGTTCAAAACAGCAGACTTAGGTTTAGGCATCTCTCAACTATCAGGTTACATTCATTCTACATTCTTGTTTCAAACAAGTCTGACTGCATTCATGTTAAGCCTGTATTAAACATTTCATTGAAGATATTACTTGATCTGTTACATATATTTTTCTATATTCTTCATTTGTTAGAAACGCGACAAAGGAAAATTAAAATCAGAAAATTATAAAAGTTGACCAACCTTGAAAGAATCTTTTAGGTAGATGGGGAAATGGATTTGAAATAAATTTAAAATTTATTATTGGTTTTGAACATTCATTAAAAATATCATTGTAAAATATGTTTTATGAATTTTAAAATTTTTTTCTTCTTTTTTCTTTAGAATACAAGCATTTATTGGAAATGGCAAAGAAAAATTCTTATAATATAAGTCAGCAGTTCAGAAAGCCTGGACAGAAAAAGATTGGTAATATTTTCAAAACAATTTATAAATGACATTTGTTCTTATAAATAAACAGTTTATGTACCAATTTGAGCCTGCATTTTAAATTTGAAGATAAATTTTATTATATTATTGTAAAAAAAATTCTTTTTAATGTTATGTCAGCTATTCAGAAAGGCTGGCCAACTCTCTAAGATAAAACTTGGAGTTATTTTTAACATATTTTACAATAGATAAAAAATTTTATACATTGAGTATATTAAGTACATTTGAAGGTAAAATGTATTGTTTTGCAATGTTTTCATTTTTTTTCTTCCTTTTTTAGAGAATAAATCTTTAACAACAAAGAAGCATTCTAATAACATGAGCCAGCAAAAAAGAAAAGCTGATCAACTACAGAAGAAAAAAACAAATTCTCCACAAAAAACTGCTCGCCAAACAGGCACTAATTTGCAGAAAAAATCACTTAGCCCTGTTGTAGTTATGAAAGATGTGCAAAAAAGTTCACCTGAAGCTAAATCTCTTTCAAAAATTCTTCCTACAACTTCAGTTGCACCTAAAAAAGTAAAAGTTGCAGTTAAAAGTGACAAAAAAATGTCTTCACCTATAGAAGAGAAGAAAAGTTCATTTAATGTTTCTGCTGCATCTACTTCAAGCACAAAAAAGGAAACAATTACTAAAAAGGTAATAGCATATTTCTTTTATTTTTATAGTATTTTGTAAAAAAAAAAAGATTTAAGAAAAATGTGCTGAAAGCAGGGTTGGGGTTTTGGACGTCCTAAACTGGTTTTGGAAAGGACATGTGGGTAAAACTGTCTTAAACTGGGTAAAACTGTCCTAAACTGTGTAAAACTGTCCTAAACTGTCTTAAAGTGTCCAAAACCTTGAACTTTGGTAAAAGGTAAAAATTCTATAGGTGTAACCATTGTACACATAATAATTACATGTATCAATAAATATTTCATATTTTTTATACAATTTACTATAACTTATTAAAAGAAAATAATATAATATAATAGGAAAAGGTTTATAATTTTTGAAGCTCCACAATTCATTGAACAACAAAAGTGAATACCTAATCCTTTAAATATAAATATGCTTTTAATACTGATAAATAATATTTTTGCATAAGGATAAATATGGCAATATTAAAAAATAATAATTTTTCTTAAAAAAAATACTAAATTTGTTCAAAAATTAACCTTTTATTTTTCACAATATTTTTTTAAAAAAATGTTATAATTTCTGCATCACAGGATGATAAAAAAGACATCTATTTTTAAAAAAAATTGTTTTTAAATATAAATATATTAGTTTAAATTGAAAATACAAAATAACTGAAAAATGTATTAACAGTTTTGAAGGGCATAACATCAGTTTCAGTTACTGACACTGGTGATGTATCACCACTATGCTAAAAGAATTGAACATGAATGAAATAAAAGTATTCTTGAATAGTACTATAGATAAATAAACCTGTTTATGACGAACCAAGCACTTAGTCCCTAATATTTTAACCTGTATGGCAAGGCCAAACTTCAGTTATGTACTATTGAATGAGAGGACCAATTGAACTTGATTACTGATTAATCTTCCTTTGTTTAAATTGAAGAGTCAAACAATATTAATAAAACATTATACTTTTAAAAACAAATATTCTCTAGTATATTTAATTATCAATATGTTATTAGTTCTATGTTTATTTTACCTCTTAAATATTGTTCAGATAAAATTGTGACATAATTTGAGTAAAAGGGTTTTGGACAGGACGGTTTAAACCGCGGATTAATCCATTCTGTTCTAAACCTTGCCAACCCTGGCTGGAAGTATATGTGCTTTGAACACTATGAACGAACTTATGATTTAAGCTCTGGATTATACAGCCCTTAGTAGGTCACCCGACAGGGTACAGAAAGTGAGCCTTGAGACATACAGTCAATAAGGGGATATCCAATTGATAAAATCAAATGACCCTAAAACTTTACATTTATAATCATTATTATTGTTATTATTTATTATTTTATAATAAAGATTTAGGGTGTTAAAATACTAAAGTGAAAGTTAATCTAGGAAATTAAATGTTCTTTTTAGGGACAAGAAAAAAGAGAATATGTTGTAGGAGGAAGCAATTTTTTACCATAAAATAATTTCCATTTAAATCTTTATTAAAATATATTTATACTTACGATATATAATATATTTAAATAATGATTTTGATAAATTTTAGTGTTTTAAATGTTGTTTGTTTGAATAAGATTTTTTTGGTCCCCTCTGGCAGAAAATAAATAAAAATAATAATAATAATGCTATTTATATTTTAAAACATTCTCTAAAATGGTAGTAAATAACTAATGCTCTATTCAGTGTTATATTTTTGCTGTTAATTCTTTTTAAGAAAAAAAAATATTGCATTTTGATTTTAAATTATAAATATTTATGTACCTGCTTTAGGTTTCACGATTAAAGAACCAAAAACTTGCTGCTGCAGGTGGGAAAAAGTCAGGAGATGGAAAAAAACCTTTTAAAAGTAATCTTTCCTGTACTTTTTCTTTTCATATATTTGTCATGACTTTCAATTTTTGATAAATTAATATGCATGTTTATGTTCAAATGATTAGTTATTATTGGCAAATACCAAAAATTTTTAGTCCCTTTAAGAAAATATGTAAACATAAGTGGAGCTGTTGCAAGCACATTTGATTTAATTCGGAGACTTAGATTTGCATCCCTGTCAACTTTTTCTCTTTTTAAGGTGTTTTTTTCCAAGTGATAGTGAAATGGCAAATTACAATTGTAGGTGAAATAATTATTTTTAAATTTGGCCATATCATAAACACACCATCGTATATATGGTAAATTTATAAGTAGTGTGTTATGTTTGCCAATGTATGATATGCTGCATTTTTCTTAAAAAATTTGAAATGACTTTCCAAGTAAATGATGAATTTAGTGAGAAAAGGATTATGACTGTCATTCTGAAATGTTCATGTTTGTAACATACTTTAAATATTCATCATTTGCCAAATTACTTAGATCGAAATTCTGTTTCATTGGCTAGATTTGCAATTAAGTCCAGTTTTGTTGAATCATTAGTAATGAATCTTTCCCTTGCGATGAGCCTATTGCCGAAAAGGAGGAGGGAGGGGCTGCTATGCCCTGCTCTTTTAGGTCTTCCGTATAATTATAAAATTTTGTTTTTGAAAAAAAAAAGAAGTTTTTTAAATTCTGTCCTTAAAGTTATTAATATAAGTACTGGATGCTTAAGAAGACACCTTGTTTTGAAAAAAGATCTTTTCTTATACTCCATCCAAAATTGATAAAATTATGAATTTGAATGCTGCTCTTTTATTTTTTTACTAACACTGCAGAAAGCTAATTTTACATTAATGCAAAAGCATTAAAGTTCATAAAACGAGTAAATACTTAATAATTTATTTCAAAATTAAAACGTTTTATGCATTTTTGGGAAAATTGAAGGAAATTCAACATAAGGACTCTAACACATTCTTCATGATGTAGAGCATAATGTTTTCAATTTGTCAGGCATAAAAATGTTTGAGCATTTAAAATATATTGATCTTCAACTCTTTTCAATTCTGAAGCAAAAAAAAAAGTTTCATTAAGGAATAAATATTTTCAAGTGCATTTTGTGACTAAGCTTTTTTTAAATACTTCTTGTCAAATGCTACATAAATTTGCCTTGTACATAATTTTTCCAGAAAATGAGACTTTAATATAAGATAATCACATTAAAACTAAAATATTTGTAAACAGCTGAATAAAAATTATCCCAACTTATCATGAGTGTCAAATAATTAGTTTTAATTTGTTGATTGACAGGCATAAAAGCATCTGTATCATCAGCTAAGTTTTTAAAATTTTTTATACCTGCCATATGCCAATTGTAAGTGGCAAACATCAGCATGGGGAGTGAGATAATTTTTTTGATCTTAAAGCAGCTTTTTAAGCAAAAAGGAATAGAACTTTCTTTTTTACTTGTTAAATTCAGTATATTTTTAATTTTAAATTTTTTTTTAGTACCTTAAAATATATAATTTTGTAATCTGAGTGTTATTNTCAGTACTGTGGAGCATATTCAGAGTACACATATATTAACCCTAACTCTAATAACGAATGAAGTGGTTTTTATTAGCATTATTATTATTATTATTATTTTTAATTTTTAATTTTTTTTTAGTACCTTAAAATATATAGTTTTGTAATCTGACTGTTATTGAAATACGAAAGAGCTTTGGAATATGTGGGAGTATTTTCTTTAAACAATGATACTAGACTACTATGTTTCAGCATCTGGAGAGCGAATGTAGATCCGAGAAAAACTTTAAGAACTATTATGGGGGTTAGTGAGCTGGGAGCAGTTAACCATTCATATATATTGTTAAAGTGTATGCGTTAAGCAAATTTCTTTTACGTATTATCATTGGCACTAAATTAATTGATATGAACATGATATAACTTTTATGCTTTAATTCTGATTCATGAAATGTGAAATTCTATATACAGCTTTAAAGGCTCCTGTTCAAAAGAAGGCTTCACTTTTGAAATCAGTCCAGAAGAAAAAAATGAAGAATAGAATTAAGAAACTGAAAAAAGAAATATCAGAGTTGAAAGTAAAAGTAGACGAAAGTCAGAGCTTCATAAAAGCCCAAGGCAATGCTGAAAATGGAGCTCTACTTCCTTCTTTTGGGAAAGGAAAGGAAAATGAGGATGATCAATCAAATACATCCTTTTTCGCTCATCAGGATTTACAAAATGAGGTATAAAACTTATATAATTAAGGATTAATTAGAAAGTGATTTAGCTACAAAAGATAATGAGCATGAAAGGTTTACAATATCTATCTCTATATAACATAAAATTATAATGGTCTGATACCGTTTTCCATTGTTGTCGGCGCATTTTTATTGGAAAATCACGTTGTAGGATCCAGTTTTCCCCAATTCATTTCCATATTGTTTAGGTTGTCATCAGCATAAAATTAACAAAAGTCGTAAAGGTATTGTTTTCCTTTAAATATTTTTGTATCCCTAATTTAAAGTTATTTTTCAGTACTGCTATTATTAGTGAAAATTTCAAATTATGGTTGTGAACTCATCAAATTTGTTTGAACAATATAATGTATTAAGAATATAAATGTTATTTAAAAAAAAATGATAATTAAAAAATCACCAAGAGATTTAAATGTTTATAATACTAATAGATAGTAATATTAGGAATTGGGAAGTAGAGGCGCAAGAGCGTAAGTAAACAGAGTTCCTTTTAGGACATAGATTTTAAGTGAATATTTTTAACTTTAGTAGAAGAACTATTTTCGGGCAAGAAAAAACAATTATTGCAAAGCAATCGGGGTTGGTGAGCGGTAGCGAACAGGGGGCTTTGCCCCCTAACATATATATATATTTATATTTACTTTGGTTAAAAATATTTTCTGTAACAGATTGCCAATATTTTAAGTTCTGATCTCTTCATTATTTTTTCTCCTACAAAAAATATTACTTTTGCAATCGAAGTCATTTTTACTCTAAACTAAAAATATCTACTTGTCGCATAGAGAGTTTTGCAACTGATCTAACAAATAATATTAAATCAAAATGAATAGATAAGTATTTTTGTAATTGACTGCTTATGTTTCCACCTATTGAGATTTCTTAAAAAATAGTACCAACATTGTCTAGCGTGACATTGGACCGATAAATAATTTTTTTAATATAACCTTAATAAATCAATATAAAACTAAGAAGATGATTTGGAAATTTTTATCAAAATAGAACACAAAAATGAGATATATGTTTATTTCCTTATGGCAGTAATGGTTTTGTTTTGTGTCACAACTACAGGAATTGTAAGTTAAAATGTACCATAACCTATTATTACAAATTTTTCCTTTTTACTAAAACTTATTTTTTAATTAAATAAAAAAGAAAGAAAGAAACTGGTTTCCTTGCTTTTTTTGAAATTGTTTGTTAACATTTAAGGAGTACGATAAATTAAAATTTATTATAGGCATATGTGAAACACTGCACATTTGAAGAACCTTATTTCAAGTTGCTTGGTTTTAATCTTAGTGATTGCAGAATAGCATAACACCATAGAAATATTTTAAGTATAAACGGCACACAGTTTATGTATTTTGAATTGTATTTCTGTGGGGTAGTTTTTTAGAAAAGATGAGATAGGAGACTTTTTAAAGTTTGCAACAGAGTCAAATTTAATAATTTGGAAATCTTTTTATGTTGTATACATCTTTATTTTTTTTTTTGTAGCTCATACCTTTGAAAATCCTAAATTAATCATCTACCATATGCGTAAATTTGTCAGATGAAATTATATTATATAAGATAGGGGTGCACAACCTGCGGCCCGCGGGCCAAATGCGGCCCTTCGACTAATGAAGTGCGGCCCGCGAGAGCTTCTAAACACAATAAAAAAATTTTAAAAATGGCAATTTTTAATCGCACTTTTAAATCATCACGTTTTGACACAATCAATTTTAACAGATTCTTTAGTAAATGTACGTTTATTGCGCTTTCTTTAAGCCGATTTTATTGTAAATATAAATGATTTTTTTTTAACAGTTATTTCCGCTTTTCTACGTGATTTCGAAAATCCCGAATTTTTATTACAACGCGAGTTTCAGATCGCATAATCACTTTTTGTGCACTTTATTTATGACGATTTAATCTTAAATCTAAATGATTTTTTTATCTTTTTTTTGCAATTCTTTCTTTTTTTTTCAACGTTTTTTTCGGCAGTTATTGCTATGCGTTCCCACGTATTATAAGAACTCCAATTATTCTATTACGACATGCAAATTTTAAATCATGCATTTAACACGCTTTATTCGTGCTGAGTTCAGCCTAAATATATTTTTTCCCAATTATTCCTATACTTTTCCACATGATTTGGACGATCCCGTTATTTGACTATGATGTTATTACGACACGTGATTGTTAATCGCGCAATTAAATAATCACTTTTTGATACGGTATTTCGGTACAGTTTTATC